GCATGGGCAGCACCTCACCAGAAATGTTGGTTTCATCCCTTTCCTTGCTTTATTGCCAGTTAGGACAAGGCCTTGGAAGGAACACAGGCTTAGCAGTAGAGGTTGAAGGTGACCATGTTTTCTCCCTTGACAGGCCCTGCTTTTCTAGGATGTTGTATTAGAGCAAGAACAGGCCCAGTGGCCAGCCCTTCATCCGTCAGCGCCTGCCATAGGAACGAGAGAGGGGTGCTTACTGAGCTCTTCAGGCACCGCCAGAGGCTAGAGGGCAAGTGGACATGCACAGACCTCTTCCCCTGTCCTGTCTCCCACTCAACACCTGGGGAGATCGGTGCTACCTAGGAAGAGAGAGCACATGGATAAAACATATGAGAGGGAGGTGGATACGTCCTATGTTCCTTGTTTCCTGCTGCTAAAATTGCACTATTGCAGTGTAAACATGCCCTGAAGGTGGGGAGGAATTGTTTAATACACCGTGTCAGTGTGTCTTCTTGTTTTGTGTATTTTTCCTGCTTGTGGCAAGAGGCTGATGATAATTCTGTTTCTCATCTGCCCATCCAGTATTTTGTTCTTCTCCCATCAAGTCATCTTATTTTTCTATTCTTACTACCTCTCCATCAATGGGATTTTGGTGAAGCTCTCTGCAGCTGCCTCATTCCTTCCCAATGACAGTGTCAGGAAATGACTCTTTAAATAGCACTGCCACCTCAGCAGCCCTCTGAATTTAGGGGAGAGATTCCTTGCCCCCCTTTGTCATAGATTAGGCTGAGAACTTGGGTTAACCCTGACTACATTTAGAGATATTTCTGCCTCTTTTTACATATATATATAGACACACACACACACATACAAATGCAAGGATTCCTTAATGTGGTTTAGTTTTTTCATTTGAATAAAGGTATTGAGAGGGAAGGAAAAAGATAGAGCTGAGAACCTTGAGAGAGATTCTCTAGCATGGCTGTTCATCAGAATCAAATGGAAATTAAAAAATGAGTTACTATCCTCATGAATGGTATCCAGCGTATGGGCTGCAGCCCAACATTGAGGGTTCTGATGTACCCACCAGGTGTCCATTAGAAGGAAGGGAGAGGAGAGGATTCACAGAATGTTGCAAAAGGATATATTATTATTCATTGAGATAAGGGATGTGGTTTCCCTGCTGTGGGTATTATAAAACTTACAATTTTCCCAAGCTGGCATATCTGACCAAATTCCACATCCTAATAAAATGTTGGAAGGAAAGCTCAAAAAAGAAAAGATTTTAAAGACCCCTTAGAAAGTCCTAAGTTATTTAAGCCAAGTGTAATTGATTTTCGGAAGGGAAATGAGTTCATCTCCTCTCTTAAAGAGCATCTTTCTAAGAGCATCTCTAACTTTTAACTATGTTTCATAAAACCAAAACCGTAACATTGCCACTTTATAAGCAAGAACCTCATAGAAGTCCTGAGAATGGGAGGCAGTGGGAATTCTCAGCCCTGGTTCTGAGGGAGTTTGCTGACCAGGGCTGAGCAAGCCACTGTTTTGCTGCCATTTTCTTCATAAAATCTGGAAGGTAGCCAGTAGCCAGGTGCTTTGAGATTCTTGAGCGGGAAGGGGCAATATTCTGCACACGCTTTTTTAATCTTTGGGGAAAGATTAAAGAAAGCACTGGCTTTCTCCACTGTTCTGCCTCCTGTTCAGCAACACGCCCACTTTTGCATGGAGTAATAGCGTCTCCTCCCGTCTGGAGATTCTCTTGCACCATCAAGTTAGCAAACCACATACTTAGCTCAATGCTTAAAAAATATACTCATACCTTAAGCCTAATAAATTCCAGAATTTATTTTAGTTCCTGTTGTCCCTTTCTAAAAAATGAGTTCAGGACAACAGTATTTCACTTTAAATGCTTGGTCATGACAAGAAAAAAGAATTAACAAATGTTGAAGCTCATGTTTGAAGAGCTGTATTGAGGAGGCCACAGTCTCCCGGGTCTGAGCCCCTGGTAGCCCACCTATTCACATGCCAAATTAGCTGACTTTGTTCCTGTGCACTCCATTCAAGTTGACAGGCCAAAGAGTTTGGTGAAGAATCAGCTCAGGATCCTGGAGAGGCCCTGAGGGGGTTCTGTACATAGGGGTCCCTGCATGTGTCCCAAGCTCTCTGCCATGGTATTTCCTTCGGACTGTGACTTGGCCGAGAAGTTCTGCTCTTAGAAGATTTGCTAGAACTCTGTCCCCTTGCATGGGTCAAGGAGAATGGTAAGAGACACTTAGGATTAGAGCAGGCCGCAAGGTGCAGCCCTTTTAGATTCTGCTTACTATAAGTGGCCCAAATACCAGAGATGGGGGTTCTGTGGTCAACTGCATCCTGGATGTCGTTCACCTTCATTTTGATTACCTCGTAGTCTTTAAATTCTTGGTCCCCGTGGCCAAGTCCACAACTTGCCTTCTAGTCACTTGCCTGCCCTTCAGTGGTGGTTGATGTGTTAGCTGGTAGATTTGGAATCAGTCACCAGTCTTTCTGTCCTGTCTTGGCTAGGTCCATAGAGGAGCAGCTTAGCCCTGAGACCCAGATAACTGCTATTCTTTTTCTCCTTCAGGGAGGAAATAAAACTGGGGAACACAATGTCCTTCCACAGCACGGGAAGAAAATAAAAATTTCCTTTCCAACAGCTTTGACTTTGTGTATGGTACGAAACATTTTCCTACAGGAGTGGTACTGGGTCTCCCCTTCATCTAGGGAAACTTTTGAAGTGTTTGACCTAGGTCTCCATAAAAGAATGGATGGGACAAGTTGCCACTGGAGTCATTCTTCCATGACCTCTTCAGTGTCAGAACTGGGGCAGTGTTGCTTTCTTTAATTCTCAGCCATTTGCATGGTCATCTGCCAGGCACATTGACAAGTCTCTTGATAGAGCAAAAGGAGGACATGCCCCATGGGTCCTTAGTAACTCTTCTGCCATGGATAATGGCTCAGGAATTCTTACTGCCTTTGTTCTGAATGTCTAGACAACTTGTGTATATCTCAACACTCATGATTTCTCAAGGGGAAAGAAAAACAAAACTTTTATCCTGGTCTCCAGTATGCCTTGCATATAATCATTTATTTATTTATTTTTCCAGGCTTTCTCTTCTTGGTAACCAGTTATTTTATAGTTGTTGGTTTCATCTCAGTAAATAGTGAAGAGTGCTCTTGAGGAAACAGGATGATGCAATGGAGATAAGGGCAGGGGGATTAGGTCAGGGTCAGAAGAACTGAGTTCTAATAACAGTAACAATAGCACCCATTTACTGGGCACATTTTCCTGGCACTGTGCTAAGCTCTTTGCATATATGATCTCACTTCATTCTTAGGACAAGGATACTCATCATTAGCCTCATTTTACAGATGAGGAAACAGAGGCTCAGAGATGGTAAGTCAGCCAAAGTGTCCCAGCTAATCAAAGCCAGGATTCTTTTGGGTTTGCTCCCCAAATATGCCTTCTAATTCCTACCCTCTACTGCCTCCACTGGGCCTGGGTTACCATTGTAAGATTGTTGGGCTAGATTGCATCAAGCCAACTAAAGGTCTACAGTTACCTAGAACAGTGCTTTCACAGTTTATTGACTGATATGAGAGCCCAAAGAAATGCTACTGGTATGGCCCACTCAAATGGAGGTGGAAACACCAAGGTTTCTACCTTTACAGGGTCTGACATTGGAGGGGACTGTGATGATGAAGAGTTCTCGAACTCCTGTGATGTTGAGAAGCTGGCCCTGACAGGACTACCGCTTCCAGGCACGCCCACCCCCAGCAAGTGGACGTGGCTTCTCAAGCTTCGAAGTCCCCTCACAAGGCCATTAGGATGACTTGCTTGGATGTTGGTTAGACCTGGGAGTTACAGAATTGGGAGTTAATCTAAACTACCCTAGAGAGATGCCGGTTGAATAAAATCTTGTTCTTTTGGCGAGCTGAATCTACATAAACCAAAAGTTCCCTTAGATAATACTGCATTTTAATAGAATAGCAAGCTTGTATTTTAGCGGAATGAGTATTATAAAATACAGGCTGGGCAATAAGACTGTGCATTTTTAACTTTCGACTGTAGAGTTCAGAAGAAGGATGCAGACAGAGCTGGCCTTTACTGGTAGGTGGGCGGGGATGGGGTGCCCTCCCAGTCTCCCCTTCAGGTTTGGTCCCCGAGGCTCCTGGTGGCAATGCTGTGTTCGCTATTTATAATGTTTCTAGGGGGCCAAGCCAGCTGTCTGCGGAGGGTCCGCCCTAAAAAACAAGACTTGGACCAGGTGACTTAACCGGTACTGAAGGGAGGGCATACGAGGGAGGGGCGGAGGAACTGGGCCCTGGAAGTTCCGGTCGCCAGTACGAAGTTTCACTGAGGACAGTAAGGTACCGCAGAGGCTTGGCCCTGAGACCACTATTTGGGGCGCGCTGGGCTAGACCTGTCCGTGGACAGGAGTCGGCGCGCAGCCGGCCAGCCAGCGGGCGTAACTTAGAAAGCCACTGCAGCCGGGGTACCTCTGGTAAGGGGCGGCAAACTCGAGCCCGGCGGCGGGAATTTCTTGGCGGCCCCGCCCCTTCCCGCGCAGACCCTGGGCTCTCTCCCGAGTGGCCCGCCCGCCAAGGGTACCGAACCAATAGGAGCTCAAAGTATATATGACTCACTGTGCCTGGACCAATCAGCTCGACGCGCGCTCCCCGCCATCACCTCGCGCGATAACCTGGCGGCCTTGGTCTTCACAATAAAACCTTCCTTGGGACACGCCTTCTCTTCCCCCGCGCTCTAAGCTCACGCCGGAAGTGAGGCGTGTCCGCATGATCCTTCCGCGCTCTCGGGCGGCGGAGGGAAGAGTGTGACTCTTTGATCTTTGGAGTCTTGAAAAGTAGTGCACCATTTTCCTTCCACGAGGCCTTGAAAACAAACTCCTTTTGTCATCACAGCTATGTCCCGACAGGAGGTTACTGGTCGCCTGGCACATAAACGGTGGGGGCGTCAGAGAGAAAAACGTGAGGGCGGGAGGCGAGGGTCACGTGGCCGCGGCGGAAGGATGCGTCTGTGGTGCGTCCCAACGGAGGAGGAGTCTATAAAGGTCCCGCGGCCGGCGCGACGCGGCCATTTCTGCTCCGCCCGCTTGTAGATGTAGTTTCCTTCGCGGCGCGCGCCTTTCCTCCTCCCCTCCCGCAGGGTCCGGGGCCACCATGGCGTATTAGAGGCAGCAGTGCCTGCGGCAGCGTTGGCCTTTGCAGCGGCGGCAGCAGCACCAGGCTCTGCAGCGGCAACCCCCAGCGGCTTAAGCCATGGCGTGAGTACCGGGGCCGGGCCGCCCTGACCATGAGCGGTGGGCCGGCGGGGGTTTCTGCTGGGCTGGGTGCGGCCTGGAGCCGGGCGGCGTCGCCGCCGGGGAAGCGGTTTTACGAGCGCCCGGGACGCGTGACCTCTTTCCGGGTGTCCACGAGACGCGGGCGCTCCTGGGTCGGGAGAGCGCAGCCCGGTGCCGGGGCCGCTTCCCCGGGGTCCCGCCGCCCCCTGGGCCCCGAGCTCGCCGGGGGTCCCGGCTGTCGCCCCCGAAACGTGGCAGGAGCCAATATGGCGGCGACGGGGCGGCGGCTGCGGCAGCGGGGGCGTGAGTCACGGTGGGCGGGGCGCGGCGGCCTGGCCGTATTTGGGCACGGGGACAGAGTTTGTTCTGGGTCGCTGGTTAAGGGATGACCACTTGTCCGTGGGCGTCCATTTTGTGCAACCTGAGGCAGAAGCACGGAAAGTTGGTAACAATGACCCAGGGGCCACGTTGTCTGCAACTCAGTGCAGTTCCGATTTGGTCGTCGTGCCTCATGGGTAAAAAGATGAAATTCTTAAACCAGCTAAGCTCTAATGTGACATGGCTTCTGATTCTTCTTCAGGCTTCTCACAGCATCCAGCAGCAGCGTTGCTGTAACCGACAAAGACACCTTCGAGTTAAGCACATTCCTAGATTTCAGCAAAGCCCTGCAACATGACCGAGATGAGCTTCCTGAGCAGCGAGGTGTTGGGGGGGGACTTGATGTCCCCCTTCGACCAGTCGGGTTTGGGGGCTGAAGAAAGTCTAGATCTCTTAGATGATTACCTGGAGGTGGCCAAGCACTTCAAACCTCATGGGTTCTCCAGCGACAAAGCTAAGGCGGGCTCCTCCGGATGGCTGGCTGTGGATGGGTTGGTCAGTGCCTCCAACAATGGCAAGGGTGAGTGGATCACATCTGTCAGTGTGGGGTCTGGGATTAGGAGTTTATTGCTTTTTGTATCTGATTCAGTTGGTTCCATCACTGTGAAATCTTTTGCAGAGGATGCCTTCTCGGGAACAGATTGGATGTTGGAGAAAATGGATCTGAAGGAGTTTGACTTTGATGCCCTTTTGAATTTAGATGACCTGGAAACCATGCCAGATGAGCTTTTGGCCACGTTGGATGACACGGGTGATCTCTTTGCCCCCCTAGTCCAGGAGACTAATAAGGAGCCCCCCCAGACAGTGAACCCAATTGGCCATCTCCCAGAAGGTTTAACAAAAGCCGACCAGGTTGCCCCTTTCACCTTCCTGCAACCTCTTCCCCTTTTCCCAGGGGTCCTGTCCTCCACTCCAGATCATTCCTTTAGTTTAGAGCTGGGCAGTGAAGTGGATATCTCTGAAGGAGATAGGAAGTCAGACTCCACTGCTTACATTACCCTGATTCCTCAGTGTGTAAAGGAGGAAGACACCCCCTCAGATAATGACAGTGGTGTTTGTATGAGCCCAGAGTCCTATCTGGGCTCTCCCCAGCATAGCCCCTCTACTGCCAGTGGCTCTCCAAACAGCCTGCCATCTCCAGGCGTCCTTTGTGGCTCTGCCCGCCCCAAACCATACAGCCGTCCTGGAGAGAAGATGGTAGCAGCAAAAGTAAAGGGTGAGAAGCTGGATAAGAAGTTGAAAAAAATGGAGCAAAACAAGACTGCGGCCACTAGATACCGCCAGAAGAAAAGGGCAGAGCAAGAAGCGCTTGCTGGTGAGTGCAAAGAGCTGGAGAAGAAGAACGAGGCTCTGAAAGAGAAGGCGGATGCCCTGGCCAAGGAGATCCAATACCTGAAGGATTTGATTGAAGAGGTCCGCAAGGCAAGGGGAAAGAAAAGGGTCCCTTAGGGTAGTCAGGAGTGTTGTGCTTGTACATAGGAGTGTCATGTGCTGAAGCTGTGTGTTGTAATAAATTATTTTGTAGTGGAAGTACTTCACATTTGGTGTGTAGTGTCTTGTTTGTGGTAAAGAACCTGAGAACTCCTTTGAGTCAGACCTGCCATGTGAAGACCTGCCATTTCAACACTGAGAATCTGAGCCCAGAGTGGGTTTTGTTAAGCTTCCTTGTAGGCTTCCCTTAGGATTCAAGGACAGGGGCAGTTGGGCAGGGAGCTGAGAGCTGGTTGGGGTAGGGAGGAGGCTGGAGAACCTGAGGGCTTAAGAGTGGCTGGGTGGGAGGAATATCCTGGGTCCCACCTGTTACCTCAAGATGGCTTTGTGCCAACATCTGTCCTGTGAGCCTTTATGGTTCTGTAGGGTCCTAGGAGAAAAGTGGCTCCTTTTGAGACTTGCCAGGTGTTGGTTTGCCCCTTGAGTAGGAAGATGACAGGCTCTGGCCAGAGCTGGACCCAAAGGTTGCTGGGTAGGGGGGCTTGTGTGAAGGTGAAAATGGCTGTCAGCCAGTTAGACCACCTAGAAAACCTAACATCTCTGGGAGGTCTTTGGATGGAGCAGGACCTAGGTATGCAACTTCATTGCAATGGCACACTTCTGGCTCGATGACTTTCTGTTTATAAGATGGGGCAGACCATTCCTTTTGGGTTGTGGATAAATGGTTGAGCGCAAGAATCAGCCCAGCTTGGGCAGGTCCCCTCTCCTACATGTCCTTTGCGACCTTCTGGGAAAGGTGGTGTGGATGGAAAGTGGCTGGAGGAGAGTGGTGGTGAGTGTGGCCCGGGTGCTGTGGTAACCAAGCACTGCACATGTGTTTTGCCCAGTCCCTGCAAGCCTGTGAGGCGGGGGCCATAATGTCAACAGGTCAGGAAATAGGCACATGGGGGATAAGCTGAATGTAAACCTAGGACTCTTGCCTAGAAAGTGGCCTGTTAGGGCCACAAACCTGCGATCCCAGTGTGCAGCAGAGCTTCAGACCTAAGAGCCAACTGTTTGAGGAATAAACCCGAGAGAACATTGCCCTCAGGCACCAAAGGGAGTGGGCATCACACCTTGGCTTTGGACTTTGTTATCCTCAAGGTCTTTGCTGCTGAGATTATAGAAATCCACAAAGACCACAGGGCCTCCCTCCACATCCATGTACTATCTAGGTGCTAGGGTGTGGCTAAGCACCAGAGTGGCCCAGTACCAGTGTGGGGCCTCCCTTGCAAACAGTCCACTGCTGGCTTGGCAGACAGGAAACTGAGGCGCTGAGAGGGGCAATGCAGGCCAGAGGGAGCCCCCAGGATGGCAGGCTGTGCCCTTCCCAGGCCCCTGCAGCTGAGGCCTCCCAGACACAGAAGGCTCGGGTCAGACCCGACTCAGCTTCTGCCCTTCTCTCCCCACTCACTGCTGCAGTGGCCAGCACCTCTGCCAAGCTCATGGCCACCTCAGAAGCTTCGTGATTTCCGTTCCCTCTGCCTGAGAGTTTTCCTCTTGGCTGCTTTCCTTCTGTGCAGTCTAATGTCACTCCAGAGAGGCCTTCCAAAATGAGCCAGCTAACGTCCCAGACTCTGCTTTGCCCTCATAACTCTTTTCTCCAGTTGAGTTTATTTGTATACAGGTTTATTTCCTGTTTTCCATTCCCCGACTGCAATGGTGCTATGATAGCAGACACTCACTGTGTGGTTCGTTCATCTTCAGGACTGCAACTGCGCCTGACAAATACCAACTGCAGCTAAGAGTACCCAGAGCTCTGAGGCTCTAAGTGCACCGGACATTAGCTCAGAATCACCCCAGGAGGCTGTGAGCCAGGCTCAGGCCCTCCTGTGGGATGTCTGGTCTAGGGGTGGATGCTGCCAGAGGGACAGCTGACACAGGCAGTGACAGTGGCCTAGACAGACAGGCTGTACTCAGCAGTGCAGGCTGTCCTTAAGGGCCCAGCATGGAGTTAGGGATACAGGAAGATGGTGTGGGGATGAGACCAATATCCAGTCACCACCCTGCATGTAACAACTTGTGTTCCCTGCCAGGACCTGGCCAGCGTGGCCTAGGGTGACCAGGTCAGAGGTGGGGCTAGGGAGCAAGGCAGCTGGGTGTGCTCACAGCTCCTGGCTCTTGCTAGGCACCCAAAAGTGGCCCAAATCCTGGCTCAGCACCAAGGCCAAAATCTTGCATCTGCAGAGGCAGGGGCTGTCAGCCGTCAACATTCCTCTCCTGTTTTGTCTGAGACAAGGCTGTAGGTTGTGGAGAGCAGAGAATGGCCTTCATTTTTTCTACAGCTATTCGTGTGTGCCCACTGCCACTGGGTGCTTGCTACACACTGTCCAGGTGCCAGGAATACAGCAGTGAGCAAAACAGATGAACATCCTTGCCCTCGAGGAGCTTTCATTCTGCTAAGGGAAATGGATGGACTCTAACGAGCCATCAGATGTGAGATGGCATTTGGAGTGGCACGGGAGGATTTGCTCTTTACGATGGAGGCCTGGGAGTGACCGCAGCGTGGGGAGGCTGGGCTGGGCCAGGATGTGGGTGTGAGAATCATGCCCGAGCAAGAGGAAGGAGACAGGGTCCATTTCCTGAGATGGGGAAATCAGTGGAGAAGCAGAATTTTTATTTCAACCCTTTTATGTTGGCAGAGGGTGGGCTGAGTCTTGGCCCATTGTTTGAGATGCCTCTTGGACATCCAGGTGGAGACGACAAGGTGGCAGATGTAGAGTGTGGAGGCAAAAATTCCCTGCAGTGACACCCCAGTGCCAAGCACCCCTGCCCAGGCATCCCGTGGAGGTGGGGGAGCTCTCAGCCTGGTGCATGCTCTGGCCAAGTAGAAAGTGGCAGCTCAGGAGACAGACTGTCTAAGGCTCGGACACCTGAGTGGAGGAAGCAGGGCCTTTTGGCTGGGCTTTCAAGGTGGGGAAAGCGGTGGATGTAGAGAATGGGTAGAGTACCCAGGAAAGAACAGGGCACACGCCCTGAGGGCCACACTTCCACAGCCTGTCTCAGAGGGCTTTACCTGCTGGAGGAAGTCATCTAATGGGGACCTGCCCACCTCCTGCTGGAACCAGAATTAAGCTCTGGGCAGGGATGGCATCCTGGCAGTGGAGCTTGCAGCTGGGCCCCAGCAGGATCCCAAGTGGCAGTCCTGCCCCACTCCTGCCCGGCCCCCTTGGCCAACACCTTCAGTCACAAAAAGGGATTGGGGTTAGGGTGGGGCTCGGGCAGACCATCCCACTGTGGAAGACACAGGAAGCCTTGGCTGGGGCCTTCCTCTTGGTCACAGTGTAGGTTCCTCAAACTCCACTCAGCTGGGCCCAAATCTGTCCCTTCCCCCAAACCACCTGAGACACACAGGCTTCCAGGTGCTGTTCATGCCCACCCGTGTCTTAACTGGGGGAGGCTTCCTCCTGCTGTGTTCTTTTAGCCCTGGTTTGAACAGGACAACTCGGTGTCCTCTTATTTGGGCCCTGTTGGTCACCAGGTCCTGGTGCTCATGGTCAGTGAGCACCCCCGCCCCAAGTGACACATCCTCTCCCCTCAGGTGCCTGTGCCAGCCTCCCGCACCGGAATTGCCCAGGGTGGTCATTAAAATAGGTCGCTGAGCCCTACCCCCAAACTACTGGCCCAGAATCCCTGGGGTGAACACTAATCAGTCACACACAGGGGGCATGGACAGGCACCCACTAGTGTTACTTGGCACAAACGTGAGATTTACCAGAAAACTGAGCAGGGAGTAGCAGTAGCACGTAGGTGATTAGTAGCAGCAGGCGCGTCCTTGTTAGAAAGGGGCCGTGGCGCCAGTGGCTGGGTCGGCTTCTTGCTAAGCTGCTTAGAAGATGAAGGGAATGAGTCTCCAAGAATATCCGAGTCTGTCTCTCCCCAGCAGGTCATTAGAGCCCAGCGGGAGAAGAGGATCAAGGAGAACTTGAACAGCATGTCCGAGGAAGGTCCTGGTCCCTACAGTTTGGGATCACAGAACACTCCCCTCCCTATGCTGATGGAGGCCACCTGGACAGGCCCCTGACTCCAACACTGCCTCAAGCAGCTCTGCGGCCCCTCCTGCCCCCACTTCAGATGGAACATGGTTAGAGACCACAGGCAGACCACCCCGGCTTCTACCATCATCTCTTCTCCACTGAAGGCTGACTCTGGTCTGCACCATTCATTCACTCAACATGTACCTGTCCTTCAGCTCCTCTGTTCCCCACACTGTGCCTGCTGGGAAGGGTCTAGCCTGCCTTCCCCCAGTGCTGCAGCCACAGCCTCCCACATGTGACAGGCATCTGACCTCACCTGGCTGCTCAGGAGAGCACAAGCCCGGGGTGCGGGTGGGGTGGGGGCAGGAGCCTCACCACAGCCTGAACCTCTCTGCCTATGGCAAGCCCCATGCTCCCCAGGGGAGGGCTGCAGCAGTACCTCCCCCACTGTCCCCAGACCTTGGGGTCTGCTTCCCTGGGACAAAGCCCTCAGTGCTAATTTTGCTTCAAGGGCCACCTTCTCTGCTGTGGCTGCCACCCACAGGGGAGGAAGGTACCTTTGGGGTGTGTCAGCAGAGGCTGGGTGGACAGCTGTGTGGGTGGCCGCCTACTGGGGCTGGAGGACTCTTGCCTAGAGCTCTCAGACCCGGGCTGGGAGATGGGGGCAGGGAGGGTGGCCCTTGGGGCAGGAGGAGATGGAGACACCCGGTAAGTCAGATCAGCAGCACACACACAGCTCCTGGGTCCACGTTTATTAGGACCCGAAAGCCACTCAGAAGCCTTCTTCCTGCTTCTGGAGGTGTGGCTCCTGCGGGCCCAGTGACTGGCCTTGCTCCACAGCAAACAGCCCGAGGCCCTACCCGGGCAAAAGCAAACAAAACAGTCAGAAATGTTCCTTTCCGGCGGGGGCAGATGGCTTCCCCAAAGCCCGCACAAGTCCGCTCCGGTCTGAGTGAAAATCCTCCCCAGGACTTCCCCCTCGCCAGCTCCACTCCAGCCTCCACCTGGCTCCAGCTCCGGGGCCTCCTCAAGCCAGGCCGGCCCCGCACCGCCCTCTGCTGGCCGAGCGGCGCATGGCACGCGGGGGCCGCGCACGCAGCCGCAGCCAGGGCAGAGGCGGCTGGGCCCTGGCACTGTGCCCTCCAGGGAGCCTAGCTGCCGAAGTATTCCAGCTGGAACTTCTGGAAGTCTTCCTCGGTGAACACGGTGCCCTCGGCCTTCTTCTTCTTCTTCTTAGTCTTGGCCACAGGCCGGTCACAGGCCTTGCGACCTCGGTTCTGGCGCAGAATCTGGGGGTTACAGGAGTGGGGGCACATAATTTCCACCGACAGGAGAGCAAACAGGACCACGTGGGGCCCGGGGAGGACCGCACTGGACAGGGCTGGCCCAGCCTCCCACCACTCCTCTGCCCGTCAGGGGTGGGCCTGACTTCCACCCTATGCTCTGCACTGAGACCCTGATGGGTCCTAGGGAAGCCCCCATGACCCCCCAGTCCCCTTCCCATAGGCCAGCCCCTGGCCCACCAACAAACCTGCTGGGTCACGGACTCAGCCACCGTGCTTCTCGCACTGGTCATAAACTTCACGTTTTCTCTGAGGTGGTCTCGACACTCTCGCTTCTGGTACTCAGCTGCAGGTGGCAGGCAGGGATTGTCATTGTCCAGGACTCAAGTCCTGGAAGACTTCTGGGTCCCCAGCCCATGGCCCCGCCAAAGGCCCCACTGTCTCTTCCCTGGATTACTGCAAAAGCCTGGGCTCTTCTCCGTCAAATGCACTCTCCACACAGACCCTGCTCGAAGCACCCCTGGCTCCCACTCGCCCACGTGACTTATGCACTCAGTCAACAAGTATGTCCTGAGCACCACTGCGTGTCAGGCACTGGGCATACAGCAGGGAACAGAATGGGCAACACCCTGGCCTTCCTGGAGCTTACATGCGGGTGGGAAGAGCAATGGGAAACAAGGTAAATGGTATTTTGGAGGGTGATACATTTTATGGAGAAAAACAGAATAGCAAACAGGAAAGGGAATGCTAGGTGAAGGGTTGCAATTTTACAAAGGAGGGTCCGCTGAAATGACATCTGAGCAAAGACTGGAAGGAGAGAGTTGTGGATATCTGAGGGAAGCATGTCTGTCTGGGTAGAGTGAACAGCCAGCACAATGGCCACAAAGCAGAAATGTGACAAATGTGTTTGAAGAACAGAAAATGGCTGGAGTGAGGAGGAGAGCAGGAAGAGATGAAGTTGGAGTGGGGGCAGATCACGTAGGGCCTCTTCAGGCACCGTAAGACCCTGGCTTTTACTGGGCACAACAGGAGCCACGGAAGGGTCTAGGCAGAGAGACAAGGTCTGACTTGTAATTCTATAGGATCACTTCAGTTGCTGCTGAGAACAAGACTACTAGGGGAGAGGGTGAGTGGAAAGTGGGAGACCAGTTAGGCTTTCGCAGTAATCCAGGCTAGAGACAATGTAGCTTAGACCAAGGTGGCAGCCGCAGAGGTATGCTCTAGACTGGCAGCTGAGGCCTGTCATTGCTCTCGTGTATCCGTCATGTGCCAAAACTTGTGCTGGATACCATGGCCACAGGCAAGCCCAATGGAGGTCTGTGCCTCGAGGAGCTCCCAGTCCAACAGGACAGGCAGTGAAGTGAATGCCAGCGACAGGGTGGCAAGACAAGGGCTAGGACGGATGGGAGTCATGACCTCTGGCATCCTATGCTCCTGCTTCATGGCAAGTATCACTGGGACTCAAAAGCATCTGTCCCACTTTCCTACCTCTAAGCTTTTGCTCATGCTGTATTTCCTCCTTGGAATTCATAATTTTTTTTAACAAATACCTGAACACCTTTTAGGCATCATGCCCTGGGAATTCAAAGACACAATAGGGCCAAGTGCAGTGGCTCATGCCTATAATCTCAGAGCTTTGGGGAGGCCAGGGTGGGAGGCCCACTTGAGGCCAGGAGCTCCAGACCAGCAGCTGGATGTGGTCCCAGCTATAGTCCCAGCTACTGGGGAGCCTGAGGCAGAAGGATGGTTTGAGCTCAGGAGTTTGGGGCTACAGTGGCTATGATGATGCCACTGCACTCTAGCCTCGGCAACAGACTGAAACCCTGTTCCTCTTGGCAAAAAACTAAAACAGGGAGTTCACCAAGTCCTGACACATGTCCAAATATTACCATCCTGCCCGCACCTGCTCACCCGTCTTTATGCCTTGCTAAGTGACAACACATCCCCCAAGATACTCCATTAGAAACTGAGCTCCATCTTCACAGCCATTTCATCACCACAGCCTGTCAATGCCCCTCCTCATGCATCCTCCACCTGTTACCTCTCCCGCCATAGCCACTGCCAGGCCACAGCACCTCCCACTTGAATGGAGTAGGTAACAGCAAGACTCTGGAGACATCCTGCCTGGTTTCTACCTGTACCACCCGGGCAGGTGTCCATTTCTGCACCTGTAAAATGGGGGTGACAGTAGTACCAACCTCATGGGGCTGCTGTAAGGATTAAATTAACACCGGACACCCAGGTATTAAATAATCTGCTAAGTGCTCCATCTCTGACCCTTGTTCACTGCATGTCACCTTTACCAGCCTTCTTTCTTTCAAGTTCTCAAAGGCAATGAGCCCTTTTCTGACTCAGGACCTCTGCACACGCTGTTATTCCTAGAATACTCTTCTACTTTTCACCTGGCTAGCGCTAATACTTCCTTCAGCTCTCAGCTTAAATGTGGCTTCCTCAGAGAAGGCTGATTTGGCCTTTTATTCTAAGGCCCCATCAGAGTACTCTGGTCTTTTGCTTCATAGACTTCAATGCACTTCGCAACTATATGCTGGGTTTGAGATTCTTTTATGCTTCTCTCCCCACTAGGGCTGCAGCCCATGAGACCGAGGCAATGTGTTTCGTTTACCTGGTATGTCCAGGACCCCGTATTCTAGCAATACCTGGCAAACGTTTCAAGCCCTGCCTCAAGCGCCACCCCATTCAGGCGCAGCCCCCAACTCCACAGGCAGCACTTCCAGCTCCTTCCCGAACTCACCTAGAGCCGACTTGGGCACTTTTCCCTTGGCCGAGTTTCGCAGTATCTGGGCACGCGTCGCCTTCGCCTTCTGAGTCCGCTTCGCCGGAGCCCCGCTCGGCTTGGCCTGGCCTGGCGCGGCCCGGGGGGCTGTTGGAGAAGAGAGAGGACTGGACCCGAGTCCGAGGGCGCGCTTTCCATCCCGCTGAGGCTAAAACCTACCTGGATCGCTCCCCACCCTGGGGGTCCCGCCCGCAGCCGCAGCTACCGCCACCCTCCTGCCTGCGCCGGACTTCCCCTAGCAGCCCTCCTCACCCTCGGACTCCGCCAGCAGCTCCAGGCCCCGCCGCAGCAGGGCCGCGGACATAGCTGCGTCGCGCCCCCTCACGAGCCTCGCACTACTTCCGCTTGAGCCACTCTCCTCGTCTCGGCAGAAACCTGAGCAGGAGCCGAGGGTTCCGGAGAGAGCGGGCGGAAGTGCCCACCTTCCTTAGGACGCATGCGTCTACTATGGAGCAGGAAGAGGGGCGGAGACTAGAGGCGGGTCCAAGGCGCTGAAGGACACTCTAGTTGTCCAATCCCAACGCAACCAGTGCCTTGCGAGTCAGGCCACGCCTTCTCCCGGAAGCCGTCCACAGCCAGCTCAGCGTGGTTGGTCCATCCTCTCGGGTCTCGCCTCTCCGCAGTGTTGGAGGCCGGAACCGGGCGGAGTGTTGGTTGTCTCAACTCCTACGAAAGGGGAAGATGTGAGGCTGGGTCTTTTAAATATGCTCCGGCCAGAGCAACGTGTCTCACAGATCGAGTGCGGCATGAGAATCCAGCTGTCTTCCATCCAGCCAGACATACAAGACATTGCCAAAAATGCAAAACAATGTATTTTTGAAGAACACAATTATTTTTATTAAAGTATATTATTTATGATACCAAGCAACGAGTTTGTTATTGCTATTTTTTTAAATTTCGGCATATTATGGGGGTACAGATTTTAAGGATTCTATTATTGCTATTTTAAGTAAATTAATGAACATTTAAAATTGTTTCTCAGGTTTAGTCACTAACATGGGTGGGAACCGTTCCCGCCGTTTTACAGGTGAGGACACAGGGGCACCGGGAGGGTAAGGAGCCTGCCAGTCACACGGGTGGTGCCTGGCCCCCGCATTCGGGACAGCCGTGCTGTGGCGCCCGGCGGGCCCGTGCAGTCGGGGCGGGGCGAGGGCGCTGAGCGGCGCGGGAGGCGGGAGTGTGCAGGCCGGAGTGGCCCGGAGGAGAGGTGAGGGGGCCGCGCTGGGTGGGATGGTCTGGAGGGCTGCGACCCGTGAGTCTGCGCTGGGGGCAGTGGGGGCCCTGGAGCCCGCGGGGTGGCCAGACGCGCGCCTCTTCCCTGCTTCAGAAATAGCCGGCTGTTTCCTTATTTGTGACGTTTGCTGTCGATATCCCCACCCACACCCCACGGTAAGCTCCTCAAGGGCAGGGGGCTCTGTTCCGTTCACTGTCATACCCCTGGCGCCTGGACAGTCGCGGCACACAGTAAGCGCTCCGTGAACGCATGCTCCGAATGGCTGAGGCTGAGCGCGGGCCGCCGGCCGGCCGCAGGCGGAGAGGCTCACGAGGTGCTGGCGAGCGCGGCTGCCCTCGGAGGGCAGAGGGCGGAGCTCTGTCGTTCTCCCGCTCTGGGCTGGGCGCCCCGGCCCCCGGCGTGGGGATCCCTCTGGCGCGGGTGGATCCCCGCAGCCTCCCCTGCCGAGCCCGGCTCTCCACCACGGAGTCTGCCGACGCGGTGGCCACTAGGTGGCGCCGCAGGACAGCTTTCTCGTGAGCTGCAGCTCCGCGGCCGGTCTGCCGCCGCTCCGCGTGGGTTCGGGTTGGGAGCGTGGGGTCCGGACGCCCCGCGGTTTCGGCTGGCTCCTGGCATCCAGCACCGCGTGGCCCCGGCTTTCTGCTGTCTCTGTCTCTTGGCCTTCCATGCCCACAGCCAGACAGCCCTCCCTGGCCTGGCCTGGCCTGGCCTGGGCAGAGTGGGTGGGGAAACTGAGGAAGAGCCATGAGACTGGGCTGCCCAGGAGGAGGGGAGGACTTCTTCCGGAAAAGCTTGCGAATGGCAACTGGACACTCACTGTTAGGGAGGCTGCAGGGAGTTGTGTGACCTAGGCAATCCGTTAACAGAGTGCCTCAGTTTCCTCATCTGTTAAATGGGGCTTGGTAGTACAGTAGCTCCCTGGCAGGACACACGTGAGGAGCCAGTAATGAATACTTACAGAGCACCCAGGGCCTGGGAGGGTCAGTGCCCACTGACTGCAGACAGTGTCACAGGCGGGCCCACTGTGCTGGCATTCTATGGTCTCCTGCTCTGGGCGGAACAGGTCAGCAGGGGGCGCCGCTGTGGGGCCCAAGTGGGTCGCTCCACAGCCCACATTTGGACGCCTAGGACCTGCCAGTCTTGTCCTGGGCCCCTGGCGGGTCAAGCTCCAAGAGGGCAGCTTCCTCCTGTGTCCCTGGGGAGAGAGCGAGTGACGAGGTCTCACAGGCGGCTTCCTGTCCTGGTGGCATGACCATGGGCTGCTCTGAGCCTCAGCCCCCACGCGGGTCCCTCCCGCCCCTGGCCCCTCAGCTGCAGC